CAAATAGCAGTAGAGGTTGAGATTTTAAGTGTTTTATAATGAAAAATCTATTTATTTCATTAAGGTTTCATGCTTTAGATCTTCACTTTTTTTTCAGGTAATAAAGCAGTCTCAGTTGACAATGAAACTATTTAAGCCCTCTTTGAATTAAGACAGACAAATCCATTAATGTTTTCTGAAGGAATTCCTTTGCAAAAAGAAAGGCTGGAAGTACCAAGCAGTGGTTTGACAAAGATCTGTAGTCAAGCACTTGAGAAATGGTGACTAGGTCCAGCACAAATCTGGGGGCTTACTCTAATGTTCGCAGGCAATGGAGAACTTTTTGCTTTATCAGTGCAACAGTAGAGGATGCATCAACATGACAATGACTGTATCAAAATGTAAACAAGAATTTTTATCCTTAAAATGTTTACTATACATTATGTTTCCTGTGTCAGTCTGAATCCTTTTTCCATCGTTTTCTTCCAAGAGTTCTATAATTTAATCATGTAAATGTTCCTTAACTCTGCTTGTTTTCCTTTCCAAGCAAAATGAACTGTTACTCATCTCCCAGTTTTTAGAAAACTTGTGTTAATACAAAGTGCAGATGCCCAACTCCCAAAAACTAACTCCAAGCCAAATTCATTGTCAAGTTTCACAACTTCCCAATGAAAAACTTCCTTCTGCAATTATTATCCAACACTGGGTAAGATTTTGTATTTTCTCTGATAAGGAAACTAGTATGACTATGAAAGTAAGTGCAATAATAACAGTACTGCAATACTCTATTCAAGCCAAGAAATACAGCACAAAACTTGTATGATCCAGCCACTGACAGTTTTACCATCTCCATTCTGAGAGAACTTCCCCAAACAACAGAATTTGCTCCCACCTGTGTCTCAGAGAATATAATTTCATTTATTCAAGACATTTTTACTAGACTACAGTTTTGTGTAGATCAGTCAGACACATCAAAAACCACATATTAGCTGAGGTGAAGCTGAGATGACTTCAGTTGCCTAACAGTGTCAATCTGAAATTCAGATGAATATAATTTGTACCTCTAAATGACAGAGATTTAATATAGATCTCACATATTGCCAAATTTAGAAAAAAAATAGTGTGCAGAACTGAGTAAAATAGCAGGTTGAGCACACCTCCAAGTTTTGAATCTTTATGTAGAAGTCAGCGATCAGAATGATCCATCTTTCTGCCTCAGATGACAAACCAGCTTTGTCACAACCCAGCACATCACACCATCTGGCACAGAGGAAACTGAAAACTGGAGGAGAAGCACTAAACCAATTTAACTTCTTCAGAATTGTCCAAGACATTAACAGAAATCCTTCAGAAACAGCAATCTGATTGAAATATAGCTACCTCCTGTGAGCATGTTTGTATAGCTAATAATCTCGAAACGTTGAATTCATGGAATCCTTTGAATTGGAAGCAACAAGTTGAACTGGATTGTTTCAATATGGAATGGGTATTGTTAGAGTTAAGACAGCATGTAGTCAAACCTACACCCAAAGGGCTGGTTTTCATAACATCATCTCAAGGTCTCTTTATAGGAATTTTAGGGGATCAGAATGTATCTCCCGAGTAAAGTCTATCAGGTTCTTCTCAGGCAGTTATATATAAGAAGACCTCAGACATCAAGTGAAGCCATGCATCAGGTGGTATCAGCATGTGCATTAGTGGCTGTCTGCTGGGGCTCAGTGTCCTCCGCAGGCAGTGTCTGATCACACTGCCAGCCTCGAGGAGGGACTGCAGCTGCACCTGCTGAGCGGTCAGCCTGAGATGTTTGTACAATAAACACAAACATGGGCTGAAATCTGGACAACATTTGAATGTCTCAGCAAAATTAGCAAAGATTTATTTTATCATTGCATTGAAAAGTCACTTTTAACACAGTCTGTTTTCTAAATGATCCTTAAAAGGCACTCCCTTCTCCCTCATCACCTTCACCTAAGGCAATGACATCCAGTAGCACTGATCTATGTGCTAGTTTTCATTAATTTTACCCTCCCTAAGGGTGGTGCAGCTTTGGTGCCAGCTAATTAAAACCTATTTAGGGCTGTTCTGTGCACTTTATCAGACCAGAATTAGCTCTGCTGCTTTAATGAAGACTACAGTTTTCTCTGTTATTACCAATTAAATGTTGTTATATCATATTGCCTTATCACGTAGCAAAGTTATAGATGTCTTTAGAACCACTTATCTGAATTGAAAGAGATACAAAGATGCCACATTTAGTGATTATCCAATGTTTTTTTAAATCATTTCACTTGACTCAATATATGTAATATAACCAAATATTAGTGAAGTATAAGAAGAAGCTGCCAGGTTTATGCTCCCTCTAGGGAAGCACCAAGTAAAATGCATTAATGAAAAACCATGAGCGTCTGGTAATGAATATTATTTATGTACAACAATTATTCAAAGTGGATGAGCATTCACTGCATTGAACTCAAATGCTTCACTAATGAAGACTCTCAGAAAAAACGTATGTCCTCCAGAGTCATAACACTGCATACAAGGTTAATTCTCCAGCATTGATAACTCATATTTCAGGATACTGTTATAGAAAGAATAAAAAAAAATTGCTTCCAACATATCTGCTAGAAGTTCTTTAGGGACAATCCTTATTTCCTCCGTGAACTGATAATAAACTATGGATTAATAGCAAAGCTGTGGGGTTTGAACCTGCCCCCACTGAATTTAGTGATGAAGCTCCCACACCAGCGAGAGTGTAGAACCAGAGCTTTTTTGTAATAATGAAACAACTGCAGAACACATCTGTCTGCCACTTCTCAAAACATCCTTTGAAACTTGAGCACCAGTAGGTTGAAATTACTTTAAAGTCTCACTGATTACCTGAAAAGATAATATACCAAAAAGTAGAACTAGAAAGCTATTAAAGGCTTGACAGACTAGCAATCTGTTGTAATTTTACTATGCCTTAGTAGAATACACTGTACATAAGGACAGTATTTTAGGATTAAACTAAAATAGACGTGATTACAATCCACTTGGTACATTTTAAAATATGAGTTGAACTTGGTATCCTTCCAGATTTTTTTCTGGGAACATGCTGAAGCAGGCCTCTGTTCTAACTAATATTGCAAGCAGGAGTTGATGTTTCTCTGAGGAATGGAAGGAATATTTGGCTGAGGAACCTGATTCTGTCTCAGCATCGTAACAGTCTGGCATAATGTGCGAAACTATTTTCATCACTCCCAAATTTCTTGTGCTCTGCCTTTACTGCTTCCACAACTGGCATATACCTCTAAGAGACTCATCACCCTCCCTAGAGAAAGCATAAGGGTTCTGTGAATTGAAAATGATTTCCAAATGGAGGCCCCCTGACTAGTAGAGGGCTGGTGACATGTTGACCATTTCCCTCGTTTCTAGCTGACAAGAGCACTAAATGATACCACTTGCCACCATTTGATGTGATAAGCAGAACTGAAAAAGAAAGTTACAGTAGATGCAAGGATGTGATCTGATTGCCACTATGAGAAGCATTGGCTTTCTTCATAGTGTTAAAGGGAGTGAGTTACGTACGCCACATCACGTGGATCATGAAGTCCCTTTACAGTTTGCCCCTGTTCACAGTGTGAAAATTTTAGTTGTTGTGGCAGATAAAAGAGAAAGAGATTGGGCCACTGATGCCAGGATTCCTAAGAACTTTTTTATAAGCTCTGAGAGAACAGAATTTCAATCTGTCTTTGACATGGAAAGGATAATTTGTATTGTGTTAATAGGGAACTAATAAAACTTTGTGATGTATTAATTTGTTGAAGAGGAACACATTAGGCTGGAGATTAAGACACTTGGAGATTGAATGATGATGTTTTTTGATAGGCTATGCTAAGGTATGTATTGCACTGAGCTCACAATAAGGATTTTAATGCAGCATTGTAAAGTCACTGTGACCTGACAACTATTATCATGGAAGAGTCATAAATATAAACAAATTTAAGTTTACAAATGCAATAATGTTCTCATGATCATATTTAGCTTGATTAATAGGTAAACTGGATGGCTTTGATTATTAAAGGACATTTCTGAGAAATGCATTTTGTGCATTTTCTATTAGCTTCCATTCATCAGCTTCAGCTTAAACCAAAAAAGCCATGACAACCATGGGACATTTATGAAGTACAGAAGCCCCTTCCAACTCCAGAATTGCAGCAGCCATATATGCACATGCTGAACGAGCTCCATATTTCAATTCATTTTCAAAAAGGCAAAACTGAGTCCAACCAAGATTTGACACTTCAGTAACAAAAGGAATCAAGGGAGACTGAGAGAACAAGCACTACTATAGCAACAGCCAAGTCAAAAGTTTGGATAACATTAAACTGTTAGTTAATATCTGTATTTTTATAATATGGTCAGAATAGCTACTTTCCTTCACAACTGCAAAATCATGATGTGCAAACTGAAAAATAAATACTGATACACAACAGTGGTCTGGAAACTCCTTCCTAGTAAGTGTGTAGCAGAGGCTGCCTCAATGCCAAAACACAGAGGTCCCCTTCAATGCCAAAACAAATCCATTTTCACCAAGAAACACAAATAACACACAATCCTGTGGTTTGTGTTTGAAGTAAAGCTACAGAGAATATCAACAGAGGCAAAAATACAATATCCAGAGTTATCCTGAGGTTGTGCACTTGGAAATGTTGTTTGAGTAGGATTATCCCCTTCAAATAAAATATCAATTTAATCAATAGTAAATTGAGCTGAAAACAACACACAGCTTTCAAAACATTTCAGGAAGACATCCAATATTTTTTGGGACTCAAGCCAACAGAAATGGAAAGAACAGAAGGTAGCGTAGGTGGGGTAAATGGGGCCTAGCTGCTGCTTCATCAAGTGCTTATAACAGTCAAAACCACATAACAATCCATTAAAAATATATCTAGGGATTCATTTAGTAGCTGGCATCCAGCACGGTCTTCTCTCATGTCTTTTGTCAAACATTATAATTGCTGTTCACAAGTATAACTTACCGGTCTTTTCCTGTCTCCTTCTTAAACACTGCATCACAGTAACTCATGCGCTTTTCCGTTGTCACATAGATTTTGGCAGTTGGGTAGCTGTCAACAGCTTTCTTCAGCATGTTGTATACAATGCCATTTCCATCCTTCCTCATGTTTCGAAAAGGTCCCCAGATCACATAAAGAGTGCTGTTGGTTTCTTTGAAAAAGTACTCAGGATTCTTGAGTAGGAGAGGCACACTTGTGTGAGAGACCACCCTGATGGTCGTCCTCTTCCCAACATCCTCCTCATAGCCCTTTGTGGGTGCATTGTTCATTCTCCATATGCAGGAGGACTTGTCTATCTCAGCTCCCACCTTCTGGCCTACCATCTGTCCTGAATTGGAAACGATGGCACAGAGGTCACAGTCCAGTTGTAGAGGCTGGAAGAGAGAAAACAAAAATATATGGCAGGTTCTTCTCTACAGAGCATGAAGACTGAGACTTCAGTTAACAGAAAGACAAGGACAATCCAAAAAACTGACAGCGATACTTCTCTTTATAAAACAAGAAAATCAATCCCCTTGTGGTAGAGCTGATGGAAAAACCTACTGCTACACAATTCTAAAAGCAACCCTTTTCAGTGCCTATAATCTTTTCCTTTGTTCACCTATTGAAGTCAGCTAGAAAAATTCTCTTCTTTTTCTCTCTGGATGTTACTCTTTCCCCTAGAAAATGATAAAAGAAAGCAGCAACAGAAAATAATTTAGATCAAGGCCTTTTTTGAAAAGGTGTCTGCAACAGGAAGAACATACAGAAAAAGTAATGCTGGAAATTTAACTATACACTGATTCTGGTTATGTATCTGAAGGAATAGTTCCCAAATTTGTGACACAAGTCAAACATGAAGTGTACTTCTAACAACCAACCTGATAGCACTAAACACTGCAGTTGGAAAGAGGATGAAGATAGAGGAATGTGATGTTCTCTCTAGAGAACTGTTACAACCCATGAAAAATGAGAGGCAGATGGAGTGGTGACATGTGACCTAGGAACTTAATCCTGGGCAAAGCAAAGTCAAAGACAGTATTTCCTGAGTGCATTCTGTGGTACTATTTCTCCCATATGAATTGAAAATAGGAATAGTTATCTCCTTAAAGAAATATAGGGACCCAGACAATATTTCATTTGTCTGAATATAAACTGTATATATATTCTTTGGTTCTTTTGCATCAGTGGGATGCATTACATTTAATATGCATTTTATTAAAGTTTTACTAGAAATCTAAAACAAATGAAAACTAGATCCATCCAGAAAAGCTTAGAGAATAGGGTCCAGGCCACATACCATTTGTAATTTTTTGTATGGCCACAGACTTGATCTTCTAACCCAGCTTTGACTGGGAGCAATTGACTACATTTACGTGTTTGTTAGTATTCATTTATCTTATGTTTTGCTGATGTTTAGCTAGATGCTTCTTTGAGTAGCCTTGTGGTTATTTCTCTTCAAAAGCACACCTATTTTACCTGATGTGGATCACATCCTGGCTACATTTGACCACAATAATCTTAGGACCTGGTCACTTAGATCAGATTTCTTTGATAATGGTGCACAATACAAGGGCAAGAGATAAACACCCCAAGATTATAATAACCAAATTATAATTACAAAAATATCAAATGTTTGGGTGACAATTATTATACTTGTGTATCAAGTTTCCGCAATAGATATCACAGCTGCAGCGTTTTGACTTTTCTGCTGTGATTGATTTGATCACTCTATGCGAGTGGTACCTGAAAACATTCTTTCATCATTTCTTCGGGAGTTAAAGATGTATGACTGTATGCAACAGCACTGCTGGTGTTTCCTTTACAGAACACCATGTATTTTTTATAGCTGTTGTAGTTTCAGAGAGTTGTCCTGCTTGGCTGTCTGACAGCAGGGATGAAATCCCAGGAGAGACAGCTGAACACAACAGTCTTTCTGTTTACTGCTTAGTTACAGAAATTCTCTCTAAGATACATTATGAGGACATGGCTGTGTGACCTAAACAAATCCATGAGCATAGCTCACATCTTAACATGAAGTGAATTGTTCAAGTCCCAGTAGATTAATTTATAGCTTTCAGGGTGAACTTTCAAGCAAACAAATACTGAATATGAAACTGCCAGACAGGAAAAAACAATTTGGTCAAGAATCTGGTCCCATTTAAATTTGTCTCAACATTGATGGTTTTTTTTCAGAATATTCTTCTGTCTCCATTGAAATGCTCTCTTAAATTTGGAATTGTTTGATTTTCTGACCTTAGTTAGAAATGCATTGAGCATTTTCTATTCACTGAGTGAAACTGTTCTGCTCGAATAAACTGAGTACACTCACTCCTGCAATTGTGTCCCCCAGTTTTCGAGCTCTTTTGTTGTGATTCATTTATCTTGTTCCAATTTGTAAAGTGCTTTCATAATATTGAATGCCTGCACTAGGTCAACATATAATCTGCTCTACTTCAGTAGAGGTGGAGGCTTAACCCCTTCGAACCCTATCTCAGAACAGATATTTTTAAAACATAGAGAAATTTCAGATGCCCTAATTATGCATATTTGCTAACAGAGATCCTGTGGAGAGTTAAAAGATTGACTGACACCCATGACAAACATTCAACTGATTCCAGCAGCATCCACTGAACTCAATATCTTTTTGCGCCGTATTTTCTGCAGTATGTGCAAAACCACACATCAATATCCATTTGCTGAACCCCCATATAAAGACAGCCTTGCTGCTTGTGGTCTTGGTTTATAACATCAAAGATGAGAGGGGCAGTTTCTATAATCCATACACAACAGCTTTCTTATTTTCCTCTCTTAGCTTGGTGTCCTGTTTTCTATGACACCACACCTCAGCTATGGGGTGGTGATGTCCCATCACAGACTCAGAAGATGCTCAAATGTAACTCCTCTGCCAGATGGCTCCTACAGGAGCCGTTCAGGCACAGGGATTTGGGTGCCAGAGCGGTCAGACCAGGGAATTATTGGGGCAGCGGTGGCCGCTATTTCTCTTACCAAACTGGGATGCTCTTAATGGTTCCCAGATGACCCCTGAAGAGCTGGAGTAATCTTCTGTTGTCCTTCATCACCCCAAACACTGACATCCTTATACCCTTCACATCCTTTTCCCATACATAGATTTTTGGTTGTGAAGTTGTTCATTAAAGCCCTAATCTGTATGAGAAACTGTCACTTTTCTATTTAACTTGATGACTTATTTGCATTAAGGATGAACAGATATAGAGAGTCATTTCTTATACAAAGAAACCAGAATTCAGAGACATGAAAAACTGGAGAATTAGAGAAAACATGCATTGTTGGTGAACTACTCTGCAATTGTCAGTAACTGTTTATAGGTATCCATATCACAAACTCCAGGATAGCAATTAAATGCTCACTCATCTGCAACCTTATAAGAGAAGGCAAAAATAGGCTGCAGGGAGGGCAGGCAGCCCTTCCATCCGCAGAGAGCGGTCAGCAGCAGATCAGCAAGGGAATACAGAAACCTGTACTGCTGCTATTTGTGCTTTTTAGACCATCACAAATTAAAGGCCTACTTCTACCTTTTACAAGATTTTCATCCACTTGTATTGCAGATATATCAGCCAAAGGGAAAAAGAAAAAAAAAAAAAAGAGAACTTTTCTTCTCTTTTTATGCATTTAGACAGATATTTCACCTCCAGACATCATGGGGTCTGACCTATTATTTTTGAAGAGCTGCTTTTTGCTCCTCGAATATCATTCATTTTGTTGCTGACCAGGAAGACACAGAGCTCCTCAGCAGAGCAGCTGGGCACGATTCTGACAAATTATTCCATCTTTTCCCTGAGTGATACATTGTAACTGTTGAGAAGCACTTATATTTTAATCAGTAAAGAAAATGAAATGTCTGACCTTTCCATTTCCTGTGCAAGCTTACAGACAATAGAAAAGATAATTAAAACTGTGAGTTAGGACTTGCAAAACAGTGCTGCTTCTCTAGCAGAGAGAAATAGCTGTGCAATAAAGGTCACTTATCAAACAGTTCTAGTTATTAAATCTTTGCATTTAGCTCTGAAGTGGCTTCACAGAATCAAAGGTCAAATCATTAAATAACAAAAACAGACAGAATTAGAAAAGGTCACAAGCAAATCTAACTAGAAGAAAGTCACAAAACATGATGCTTTTCCACAGAGGATTTCGATATTTGGAAATTTTGTTGCTCTCCAATTTGAAACGCTCCCCCCCACCATCATTTCATAAGTCTCCAGCAAGTGAATGGCTGTTGAAGACCAAGGTAACATGGCGCAGGCCAAGACTTCTTAATATCTTTACAAAACTTCAGCACAACCCTTCTGATTTCCCCAAGTCACTGAAGCCCAACAACACAACATCTTGATGGGCCATTCCCATGCCAAGCTGCCTTCCTAGCCAAGATTGCCAGATTCAGTTTTCCAAGTCTAGCCCAGGACCTAAGCAGATGTAATTTATGCTAATGAAAAGCTCAATTTCTCCTGAGAGTTCTTAGAGCTGAAGGCTCGTGGTGTGCTGCAGAGCTCACTCCAACGCACCAACCCCACTTCGTTCTGTGAATCCCACAATTAATCATAGAGATAGTCGGGAAATTCAGATTAAACTTTCCCAATTGTTACTTTAACAATATGATAGTAATTTTATAAATTGGACGCATTGCCCATTCACTACATAATGAGGCAATTATTAGCAGCTTGCCACATATTAATTTGCTCCTTTAATGTTGAAACAAATGAGATCTTTTCTTGTAATCATCCTATTTGAGTGAATTCTAACAAAGCCGATTGAACAAAGCTCCAGAGAGACTTTCTTTATTTCAATGCCATTTATTCTCCTACTCTTCTTGGATGTCTTTAGAGTTTTAGAAGATACAACATTTATAATGATGCCAGTGGGGAATAGATTTTGCCTTTATTCTTCTTGATGTTCTTCTGAGGTCTTTCAAATGAAAGGTACAAGAGAGGCATTAACCGTCTGGCATTGTTTTTTATTACTTTTCTGTACTTTACAGTCAAAAATGTATTTTAAATTTTCCTGTGTTTCAGTAACAATTAACTAAGCAGCTTTTAGCAACACTTACTCCCTTTCCTCAGACCTCTGACTGATGGAAAGATTCACCAAGTTTCTATAAATAAAAATTTAACACATTTAAAGAAAAAAAATTTATTTTTGTATGGCCAGCCAGCAAGAATTATCAATTAAGCAATAAAAATAAAAATGATTTAAAAAAAAATCCACATATCTGATTATTCTAAGTTTGTGGTTGTTCCCTTTTCCCATCTTCAGCTCTTACATCTGGTCTTAGCCCCTGGCATCACATCCCAGTAAATATCCATCTTCATAAAATTTAATGCTAAGATTTCATAAAGATTTTAACATTTTGACATTA